CCTTACATACTTCAGGCATGTTATTAGGAGAGGCTATTCCTTGAAGAGGGATGTGATGCTTTAGAAAACTGGAGGGTCGGTGAAGGAGAGGAAGACCCTCAACCAGGTGGACTGAAACAGTGATTCCTGCAATCGTCCCTCGTGTGTAAGAAGTGTGAGGATGGCTTACGATAGCACAGGTTTCAGTTCCGTTGTTCAAAGGGTTGTTATGGGTCATAAGCAACTCTATGACATCTAACTACAACAACAGTCTAAAAAAATAACTATAATCCCTTCAAGTAATACAATAACCTCAATTTAGATTCTGCTCATTTGGTGTTTAAATTTCAGATTGAGATGGTGGTGCTAATCTGTATTCTCCTAAGCAAATTATTCTTCCATCACGGAACAAATGAACAGTGTTTAGGATTGTTTAAACAAAGTGTTTTCAATAACCCACAATATATATATGTACATAACTCAGAAAGTAGTTTACCTAGTAAACTAATTGTTTTGGATTTTTTTTTCTTTTTTTAGCTACTTGGCCACGTTTTGTTAGGCTGGACTGAAATAGTACTTAAAATTAAGAAATAATAAAAACGTATCTAAAAAATTTGAAGTGCAAATAAAAAAAAAGTGCTCCAAAAGTTTAAACAAATTTTTCCCCTTTGGAACTTAGAAGGAAGAATATTCATTCTATTGCACTGGGTTAATTTCTTACATAGACTTCGTTTAATCCTCACAGCAATTTTTGAGGGTTATTAGTCAAATTTATCAACAATTGTCAAGCCGGCACAGGGTCATGCCTTTTTGTTCTGTTCAGCACCACGGCTGGAGTTGGCTCAACAGCAACCAACAGTATTAAGAGACAAGACAGGGAAGCAACCAGAACATTCAGCTAGAGAAGGAGACACCAGATTCCAAATCACATACGCCCGATTCCAAAGCCATGCTCTTCAGGCCAGGTTGACACCTTTTGGGAATCGAGCAATTCCGGTCCCACAGAAACCTGTTTTCTGCTTCTGCAACCTTTATAACATTTTGTGATTCAGAAGGTTTGCACGAGCAGGTTTTTCTAGAAGTGTTATCACCAGGCTCAAATCAGCTCAGCATCAAAAGAGATCTGCAAGTCTCCACTGACAGAGGAAGGGCAGTACATACTGAAGTATGTTGTCTGGGACTCCAAGCTGTATCTCCACAAGGAAGGTAAAAATCTTACTGCTAAACTACTAAATGCTTTCTTTTCTACTTCACGCAACACTGTAATGACTTCTTTTTTTAAATTTAAATTTATTATTAATTTCAGTAAAAATGTAATTACTTCTTATCTGCTTGAAGACAAGAATATCCCATAAACAAACATAGTTAAGAGAATACTTACTCTGTGCCCCCCACGGAGATACGTACTCTCTCTCTAGATATATTCTTTCATTTTAGCCTCACAGTAACCCCATGGAGAAGTACTAGCTCCAACCTGGGGCACAGAGAAATTAAGTAACTGGCCCAGTCACACGGAGCTGACACCTGATGAGGATGAGCTCCCACTCAGAGATGGTCTAAGTTAAGAAGGTACTACACTTCTTGTTCATCTTTTTTATCTTCCATTATAGCACGTTCCTGCCAAACAAAGGATTCTCAGGAATTGTTCAATGAATGAATATATAGCGGAAACAGTGCCCTGGGTACAGAAATCTAACATGTAAGTATTCTTCCCAGGAAATTGTACTTCTGTATCTGGAAATGATGGGGGAAGCTTTCACAACAATAGGATCCTCTTCTATTCTTTAGAGGATACAATCTGGGTCTTCATTTACACGAATTTCCCACTAGTTAGTTCTGACCACCAAGGAACACTAAAGGTGGAGTGGGGTGGTGATGGCCCACAGGTAAAGGCCTGGGAAGCTCACAGTTCCCAGAGCGCTTCCTACTTAAGGGGCTGCTCTTATATCTGCAAGAGCTTCCCGCAGAGAGAAACGGGATGCCAGGGAATGGAGAATTGGAAGGAATTCATTGCTGGCGAGTATCTGCATTCTGTTTATCCAAGGGGCAGCAGCACCTCCAGCTACATTATTGGCTTAGACTCTTATTAGAAAGTGGGTAGGATTCTACGGTTTTAATTAAAGTGCAACCTACAAAGTCATACTTGGGCATTTATTAATTCAAACTGCTCTTGTCCTAATTAGGCTGATCTGTAAATGAAACAATAATCCTGACATCTAGTGGTAGTTCCAATACAATTACGTGGGTTTTTTTTTTAAGTTATTAAAATAAAACCAAAACTTATCTTTTTTTTGATAAATTTTATTTTATTATTTTGTGTGTGTGTGTACCGTCACGTCAGATCTGACTGGGACAGGACAAAACTTTTAAGAAAGTAACAAATAGCCAAAGAGTTCATGATTTCTCAAGGTGCCTTATTGTAAAAAGCTAGTATTTTTTACTTTTTGTCACTTATTAAACAGGTGCAATACTAAGCAATTTATCTCATTTCATCCTCATAGTCATGCTATGAAGTACTACTTTTCTTGATGGAAAGAATGAGAAAGCTAACGCTCACGAAACTCAAGTACTCTGCGTGTACGCAGAGGTGTTACATTCAATGTCAGCTGGTTATGAAGGTGAAGGCCCCCATCAGAGTTACTAACAGTTAGAGATGCTATGAAGCCTAGCAAACTTCCCCTCAGATCAGCTGCCCATGAACCATAGAAAGCACTCTTTTGTATACTTATTTAGTGAAATAGTAATACATGAGGGTCTTCTAGGTTCAGGGCAATACATGAGCATGTGAAGAGAGAATAGCAATTTCATTGAGCCGCTGACTGAAAGGGTGGAAGTTGCTGACCCTCCTGAGGTACCTCAGAAGAAAGGCCTGAGGATCTGTTTTCAAAAAACTTTCTATTAAAAACTCTATGGAGGGGCATTCGACACAGATGAATGAGCTGCCATGATCTGGAGTGACCTGACAGCAAGTGAAACTTGTATGTACTACTAGCACATTCCGGGAGGCTGGGCTCTATGAGGAGAAATGTGGGGTCAAGATTGGTGGACGATTTATCAATAATCTGCATTATGCAGATGACACAACCCTGCTTGCTGAAA